CCCTTTCCCCTTAGAATCCTACGTGCAACATGTCGACACCTCAGTTGGGGTCAGATTTCCACACCTGAAAGCCTTATAGATATTATAAATTTAAACGGGTGTGGAAACCTGACCGTGCTGTACCTGCCACGCAAAATGGACGTGTTAATCCGATCCGCTGTAGACCGCAAGTGTCATGTTGGAACAGAGTAAGAAGCGTAAACTTTAGGGTTCTTGAAGTATATCATCTAAAACAACCAAAAAGAGCACCAAAACGGGAAAGACTGCTGATAAAAGAAGAAACCCTGTACCCTGAGAACAGGCATACTGGCATACGGCATACTCACTATAGAGCTGCAGTTTAACAGTTTGGGGGAAGCCATTCCGCATACTCCCTCTTCGCCTGCAGATCGCTGCACCCACCCATCCCGTCTCGCAACGCCACTGTGCCCACGCCACGGCAGCTGCCGCGGCGCACCGGCCCGTCGTGGCCGTCCGTCCATGGCGTGAGTCGGTCGTCCACTGAAGAGTCCAAAGACGTGAACAACGAAGTTCAAGGGTCACACGGTGGCTGCCATTCGGCAAGGTTTGGGAAAAAAAGTGGGTTCAAGGGTAGCAGAAACCCGGGGAAAAGATGAGGTCAAAAGCACCATGTTGATCCATTCTGGTATCGAAACATGCGGTCTCACTCGCCGGGCACCCTTTCTAAGACAAGTTCCATTCCCAGCACCCCAAGGATACATGTTCAGGGGGGTCTACAAGCCACCACCAGGTCCTAAGTACCTCCAAGTCTAAGTACCTCCAGGTCCTTTGAGGCATCTCCCTAGTTTGAGACATACCCACATGCATGGCACTGGCTGAGGTGATGTGTTGGTCAAAAGCTTTCTTGAGCCTGGCAAGCATTCTGCAAATATACTGGACTGGAGAAAGTTGGACGGATTCTTATCACGGTCTGTTCTGAGAAGAAATGACGACAAGGATCAACAAGGAATCTGAAGGAATCTGATACAATTCAAATGATGATCGCAGGACCCGTACGCACCACTGCGCATCGGTTGGGTGTGAGCACAGTGGCTGACTGAGTGGCTGCGCAAGGTGCGATTCGATCCCGCCGGTTCGTGCGGACGGAATGATAACACATCTCACAAACAGAGAGCACCAATGTATTGCTTCTGATTAGTTATAAACCCATGCATACTATATATATATATATTCTTATAATCTTAAAAAATGTGGTTGAAAAGATAAAGAGGTGTTGTACAATCGATCCAAATGCGGGGGTGGTTTTAGCCATCAACCGTCTACATGCATGGTCCATCAACGTTCTGTTCTACTCAATCGACGGTGACCTGCGGGTCACGGTGTCGACCGGACCTTGCTTTCAGGCAGGTTCGACACGTTCGACCGAAAAGCAGGACCCGACTCTACGGGGTGTCTACTGAAGAACCTCGGTCAGAGGTCAGAGGTTAAGAGGTGTTGCAAGGTTAACACTTTTTGGAAGGTCCTGGGGACTACCATTCTCCTCTTGAAATGGTGGTCAATCATGGTCGGTTGACCATGCACCATGACCCACAGCCACATGAGTTCACCCGGAACATTGACATCTGACCAGGTCAGTCTCCCGAGGCTCTCACCCTCCAGCCCATTTGCTCCAGGAGCTCAGCCTAAGTGGGGCGGAGCTCAGCCTACGTGGAGCTCGGTCCCCTTGGAGGTCGCATCGTGCGTTTTACGCGAGGTCTGGAGGCAAGATCAGCTCCAAACGATGACACGGTCTGGCCCCAAATCCGGAACTCATCGATCACACTCCACTTGGGGACATCTCTTCTTTGGGGGGGGGCTCCGGCCTCCCTTCGAAAAAGGCACGACGCTGATGATTCTGTTCGATGTTGAGTGTTGGGGCGACCAATTTTGAGGACGTGTCACATGACAGGTGCTGAAAAGAACCTCCATCTTTTTGATGGTTATAAAAATGGTTGGTGGCTTTTTCGCCAGGTCAGCACAATTCGGCACCGACGCGTCCCTTCAAGCGCGCAGCGCAGATCGACGTGGAGCTGCCCATGGCCCTGCCGCAGGGCAAAGGTGGTGGGGGAACACTGCCATGCAAAAACAAACAAGAACTGCAGGTGGCAGATGAAAATGCAGAGTCAAAAGCTGACTCTAGCCTCTCAGTTGAGTCATCTACCAGCTACAAAAAAAACAACGAAATCCTGGCAGGTCATCATCTCTGGTCTCTGGTGCTTGTCCTGACCTTTTGGATGTCCTGACCTTTTCCTCGCTCTGCATAGGTTTCCCCCCTCACCGCGCACACCACAGAGCCAACGAAGGGCCGGTCACCTGGCGATTCACGGTGCGAAGGGAGGGCGACGAAGCACCACCGACTCAGACTGCTGGAAGGATGAAACGGGTGACAAAAAAAGAAACGAAATTAAACGAACTGAAACGAAACTTCAGGATCACCGTTGCTCACTTAAGGATGAAAGTCAGAACATCTCGATGATTTCTCCAGTTTTTTTTGCGTTGAAAACCGTGACTTGCAAGCCGTTTCAGCCAATTCCGCATCTCTTTTTTCGAGATGAAGGACCGCAACTTGGGGTACCGAACGAAACTCCGGCATGATGGATTCCTGCGCCGCACGCTGCATGGACCAACCTTCTTGGGAGATCCGCCGATGAAAGCGCTCCAGCTCCCCCGTTCGGTCTTTCAAAGCCAAAATGATTTCTGTCTTGGGATCAGACAGAGCATCCAGGAGGCCAATCAAGGTTTCATCTGCTGGTGGTGCCAAGGCATTGGAATCCACACATTTCTTGCCTGCATTGCCCGGATAGACCAAGTCACTGCCCAAAATCACGTCCCAAGGACCTTTCGCTCGGAACTGGGCCAAGTCGTTAGCAGAATTCCAATCAAAGACCTCCAACGAAACCATGGAGGACCTGAGATTTGCCGATGGGTGACCTGGAAAGGAAAAGAAAATCATTAAAAAACACAAACAACATATTCCTCTGACCCCTTCAGTGTTCCTCGAAAGTAAAGGAGGTTCGTCATTTCTGGCCAAACCCATCCCTGGGTAGCTCCCTGGATGTCCTTTCAATGAAATGAATAGGTGAAAATCTATGAACATCCCGAAATGGAACGAGGTCACAAGGTCTCAAAGTCAACGAAAACCTCCTCGTTTCGCGTCACGACCTAGGAACGACTGGCCCAGCGCTCCCTGGACGTTCACATTCGCCCCCTCTAAGACTCGAGGATTTCCATCCGTCGCGCAGACGAGAGCACCTTCCAGGGCCAAAGCGATGGCCACCAGTCCGGTGCCCGCGCCCAGCTCTAAGACCTTCTTCCTCGGAAAAGGTCCGAACTGGCAATGACATAAGTCCAAAAGGAGGTAGAAATGGGTAAAATAAGTCCATTGGACTTCCATTGGGTCCTTTCCCCCCCAACTTGAGCAAACTCACAGACCATCTCAGTCCGGTCCGTGGAACACGGTCCGTTCCAGCGAGTAGTGGCCTCGCGACTCGGACCGGGAAAGGTGGTTCGGACCTCCCTATATACCCTAGACTTCCGTTCGACCATTAAAAAAATGGGAACGACCTGGTTTTTGTAGTGTAAAATCCTTGGTTGATTAATGGTTGTTGGAAGCCTAGGCTGGGGGGGCATCCACTACTCCAAAACATGCACCTTCTGAACAAATCCCATGCATCCCACGCCAGGAGTGTCGCTGAGCATTCCGCGCCACGTAATCCGCCAGAACGATTGCAGCCTCCCACAGGACGCCACCGGTGCCGATCCGCTCCTCCTCCCGCCGCTGGTGCTGCCGGATCACCACGTCGCGGCCGTTCAGGCGCACCGTGCGCGTGGGCAGGAGAACTGGAAGGTGTTTCGTCAAGGCGAAGGAGAAGGGCGTGACCTGCACGCTTGGAGGTCTGATTGGCCAGGAAGTGGCCGGTCTGTGCGGTGTGGCTGCATGGGCTAGGTTGGCTTGATGGACTATGCAGTCTCCCCAATGTTCGAATGGCAGAGATGCTCAATCACCCAACAAAAAAAATACGAAAAGTCTGCTTCGACATGTTTCAACTGACCAAGCAAACCTCGCTGTAAGGATTCGCCGGAGGTGGTGCGCCAACCAGAGCGGTCGCTTCCCCCTGCCATTCCGCTTCACAGAAGGGCTCTCCCAAGGCTCGGCGTTCCACTTCGGCGGCCCGGGCTGAAATTGCACCGCCCTCGTCCACTCGAAGTGAGAGCTCCAGTTGAACGAAGGATCGATAAGAGGGGATCGGTAGAGGTGCCAACTCCATCATGCCCAAGAAGCGATTCCCTTCGCAGAAGGGCCTCTCTCCGGCATAGAGCTCCACCCGGGCAGCCGCCTGGTCGTCTTGCGTCGTCGTCAGAAGCTTGGTCACCTCGGCTGGAAGACCGCTGCCGCGCTCCAACAGGCGCTCGCAAAGCCCGTCCGTGACCTTCACGTGGAGGGAGAGCTTCAACGTGGGCGGCGCCGGATCCGCCGAACGTGTCACGGGATCCGCCGCGTCGGCGTCGCTGGGCGGCGGAAGCAGGGCCAGCAACGGAGCCGAGGGTTCCTCCCAAACGCTTCTGGACGAGAAACCCGGCCAAGCAGGGGGGAGTGGAAAGGTGGAGAAAGCATACCTCTAGAATCTGAGAAGGCATTGCTTGCCATGTTTTGATGGGAAGTTCGTTTGGGGATCCCTTAATTATCTTATCATACTTCGACTCTCACCCTTCGTCACGACCTCAGTCCACCGGACCAAACCCGGTTCCCCTCCTCACCAGCCATCGTGCTAAGCGTCAGGGCGAGGACGAGCCATTGCATCGAGATGTTTCGGTCACTGTCGAAGGGGCGGTGTGGTCGCTTTCCAGAATTCCAAGCGCTGGATGGTTTGGGGAAGGTTGGATCCAAAGGAGAGAAGTGGTGGAGTGGAAGGTTCTGAGGAGTGGTGGAGGGTTCCGAGGAGTGGTGGAGTGGTGTCATACAGCAAGAACCAGACGAACTATCCAGGATCCACGTGGATTTTCCCACCGATCCCGTGGCAGCTCAGAGTGGGGCTTCTTCTTCAGGTGACCGATCTTATGACGGCTCTCACCACGCATTGAATATGAGGACCAAAGTTCTAACCGCATATACAAACCTCCAAGTTCTGCCGTGATGTGAATGCAGGCGTCATGCTGGCGTCATGGACTCGAAGTCCTGTGAGCTCCATTTCAGTGGGCCAGGTAGGTTGCTGCTTGCCTTTAAAGGGACAACAGTACATCATAGTACCATCGGGTCGCCTCTCGGGGCAACTGGGGTGGCCTCTCGTGGTCGCTACCCGAGCCGTTGCGAGTAACCCTGAGCACCAGCGCACGCCGGGACTCCCCAACGCTAGCCAGGCCACATCCTGGTGACGCGAAACATGCCAGGCACGCCCGAAGTCGAAGCGACCATCCTTCGACGTGTCATCGTTGTGGTCATCCCTGAAACAGCTTGCTCGTGATCTTCCATTTCCTCAACGCGACCATCACCAAAGTCGCTCAGCCAAGTCTGTGCCGACGGAGTTCGAGACAAGACACCCTCCGGTCTTCATCAAGTGGAAGGCATCATGAAAGTTCAGTCTGCCCATATAACCTGCCACAGTCGAAACAACGGGTTCGGGTCCCACTGTCCTCAATCAAGCCAACATGACAACTGATCATCCCTGGAAGGGCAACTGGTGACAACGAAATCTAACCTGGCCTGACTCTGAAATCCTCGCTGTCGCAACATCCCCAAAGATCTCGATCGACATGATTTCTGCTGTGTACTTCCAACCTGACAACTCCAAGTTTTGCCATTTGCTGAGATGTCACTGTCGCAAAAGTGTCCCCTCCTCCAGTGCCCTACTCTGGGAAGAGGTGGTTAATGGAGACCCCTTTTGCCCTCTGAGGGGCTATTTGCAGACACCCCTTTGCCCGGAAGAAGCGGCGGCTCGCCGCGTCCGGGTCTGCCGAGTCGGGTGATCATCTCGCCCAGCAACTGCCCAGTCGACGGCCCAGCATCTATCCATATCCGAACACCCCGGATAGATGATCGTCTGCTGGGTCAGATGTCCCCTGGAAGTGCCGAACCTCCGGATCTCAGTGGCGGATCATCCGTCGGCGTCGGCCCGGCCGATCGATCCTTCGTCCCCCAAAAAGGCCTCTGGACTGATGCGACTCCTGCAGCGTGGTCCGAAGCAGAAGCAGCTTGCGTGTCGTTGGGCAACGAGGGGGAGGGGGGGGGCGGACCGGTTCTCAACAGGGAGATGGGAAGCTCTGGATGGGCCGATCTATACTACACTAAGAAAGGAATGTGTCCTTGTGTCTCGATCTACATGATCTACACTAGAATGTGTTCAACACCTGTGTTTGGTCTCTGCTTTCCCCATCGACTGCGGGTCTTTGATGCCTTGGAGGCAACGGCCGCACGAGACAGCCTCATGCCACCGGAGCTATCGGAGCGCACCGGTTTTCTAAGAGGATGAACGCCAAACCAACCATAAACGCATAAGGCCGCGCAAAACATCATCTACCCCTGGCCTTTCTGATGTTTGTTTCAAGTGGCTGACCTGGTTTCGTCGTCTAAAACGTTAAGTAAAACTAATGATACTAATTACTAATGGTTGTTTGAGGTCCTTATATAAGTCATTGGTGTTTGGAATGGAACCTTAAGGCTACCTTCAATTGGCCCGGACCGTCGAACAGCCTCCGACCTCACCGGCTAAGCCATAAGCGCTGTGATCGACTCACCGGTCGCACGCAGTCGGACGCGGTCGCCTTCTGCTGCTCCATCTGGCGAAAGAAGGGCTCCACATCGCCAGCCACTTCTTTCCCGTTGAGAAGGCCACACATCACAGCCTTCGTCAGAACGGCGCAGTTTTGTGGAAATTCCAAGCAGGACACACCTTGCAAGGTTGCAATACCCTGTTGCAACAGCCCGGCTTACCACCATTGGTGTCACCGTGTCACCGGTTTTTGTCAACATACTGAGCGTTTCATTCGGACAAGGAAGCGTCTGCGAAGATCCGTCAAAGTTTGCATCTGCAGGGCTGCTTCCTCTGATGGTGGTAGCACTGCAGCTAGCTACCCAGCCACTCACTTACAAACTAAACACCACCCCTTTTTTGACTCATTTCTCATGTTCTTCTTCCACAAAACTGAGCGTTTCACTTTCTCATGGAAGATCTCTTTCAGCACCTTTACGTCGCAAGCTTCTGTGCCAGCAATGTACTTCTCCAAGACCTCGGAAGTTCCCATCCGGGGTTGGGCCAGGCCACATGCCCGGGGGTTGGCTTTGTCTTGGGGTGGCGGATGTTGTGCAATTCATAAGGGATTTGTGATGGACGTGTGATTCATAAAGGACGAGCTTTCTGATGGATGAAAAACTGAAAAACCTTTCTTAATTTTTGGGGGGGAGGAATTCGACGGATTCATCAGTGGAGGGTCACCGGTCACCCTCTTTTCTCGCCCGGTCTCCTGGCGTCCGAAACCCGTGCCTCTCGAACGCCCGAAGGATCCTCGCCTAGCGGAACGGACGAAGTCTCTGAAAAGCCCAGCTAGTACAGCTCCCTTTTCCGAGAAAAGCTTTACAGCCCAAGAATGTCTTTAAAAAGTAATATAACAAAAGAAACTCTAATCTTAAGGACTCTTAAAAAAACAAAAAGATGGAACCCACGAACCCGAATGCGAACATGTTCCATATGCCCAAATGACACTCTTGTAGGACACTCTTGTGGGACACTCTTCTGGGACACTCTTGTGGGACACTCTTGTGGGACACTCTTGTAGGAAACTCTTGTGGGATACTCTTGTGGGACACTCTTGTAGGACACTCTCGTGGGACACTCTTGTAGGACACTCTTGTGGGACACTCTTGTGGGACACTCTTGTGGGACACTCTCGTAGGAAACTCTTTTGGGATACTCCTGTAGGACACTCTTGCGGGACACTCTTCTGGGACACTCTTGTGGGACACTGTTGCGGGACACTCTTGTGGGACACTCTTGTGGGACACTCTTGTGGGACACTCTTGTAGGACACTCTTGTGGGACACTCTTGTAGGACACTCTTGTGGGACACTCTTGCGGGACACTCTTGTGGGACACTCTTGTAGGGCACTCTTGCGGGACACTCTTGTAGGACACTCTTGTGATCTCTTGTCGGACACTCTTATAGGACACTCTTGTGGGACTCTTAAGGGACACTCTTGTGAGACTCTTGTGGGACACCCATACGGGACACTCTTGTGGGACACTCTATCTGGGACAGTCTTGTAGGACACACGCTTCGAGGCTGCAAGACGAGCGTTTCGTACGAGACTTCCTCCAAAAGTCACACGTCAAGTCTCCAAAACGAGCGTTTCGCACAAGACTTCCTCCAAATATCACACGTCAAGTCTCCAAAACGAGCGTTTCGTACGAGACTTCCTCCAAAAATCACACGTCAAGTCTCCAAAACGAGCGTTTCGTACGAGACTTCCTCCAAAAGTCACATGTCAAAGTCTGCAAAACGAGCGTTTCGTACGAGACTTCCTCCAAAAGTCAAGCGGAAACACCCATCGGAGCACACACACACACACATCACGCAGCCCTGCCAAGCAGTTTCGCGATTCCAGCCCCTCCAAACAACACCCGCTCACACGCCAATCCCAAAGTGACAGCGACATTCACCTCTACCACAACTCACAACCTCACGATTCCCTGCGCCTGCCACGAATCTTTCCGCGTCCACACGTCTAACGCGCACAAAGCACTGCGCTTGCCACGAAATGTCACCTCCGTCACACCTCGCAACCTCACGATTCCCTGCGCCTGCCACAAGAATCGCACTTCCACGCCTCAAAGCCCGCACAAAGTACTGCGCCTGCCACGAAAAGTGACAATATCATCTCATGTGAGCTTCAACAAATTTGCACTACACCACACGTTTGGAATGGCTTCGACCCGTGCTGAGCACACTCCCATCCACCAAAATCACCATTTCACCTGAGACTTGTCACGAAAACAGAGCTTCGATGCCACACCCTGAAATGCAAATCCCAATGGCACGGCCACATCCAACACCCCAAAAACACGCCTCTCCTAACGCTTATCCCAATGGAACTGCGCAGCAAACTGCGGATCTCACAAACCACTGCGCCTGTGCAGCGAAATGCATCACGTTTCTTGCGCGACATGTCATTTTCAAGCAAATCACAATGTAATAGCGGCGCAAACACACGTGACACATCCATGAAAAGTCACCTGCAAAAGCTTCCCCCAATGGCAGCGCCTTAGCGCTCTACTGCGGACGGTTGCGGACGGTTGCGGACGGTTGCGGACGTAGAAACAACGGGTCGCGAACAAGGCTCTACCCCCAGACCCCCAGAGTTAAACGAGAACCCTTCGCTACGCATTCGGGAAAAAGAAAGGAAAGAGTCTTGAGCCTTCTGAAGAATTTCCTTAAAAACAAGAAAATCTCCACACGTTGCTCCACTCGGTGCCTGACTCACGGCGCACGGCTGCAGCTGCCGATGCAGGACGCGCCAACGGCCAGTCGCAGTGGCGCCAGTCGCGCCTGGGTGTTGACCGCGGACGGCCAGGAAGTGAATGCGGTCAAAGACCGCGGACGGCTGTGGAGCCATGCCCTTCTAGCAAACCATGGAAATGGAAACGTGGGAGTGCTTAGAATCCTTTCTAACCTGTTGGGTACGGGACCAGCTTAGAATCCTTATTGCTGCATACAGCATGCTTTTTTCGGGGTAGCATGTCTGTCACTTGTGGTCTCGGACCGCTTGTTAGCACTGTGACCTGCAACTGGAATAGAAGTCCTCAACCTAGAAGCTACTAGTAACAAGGTGCCACGCTAGTAGTAGCAGGTGCCTTACAACAAGAAGCTATTAGAAACAAGTGCATCGCTAGTAGTAACAAGTGCCTTACTAGTAGTAACAAGAAGCTACTTAATTTAATTTTCCTTTCTGATCCTTCTTTGGACTTTGCATGGGACGTGTTCCCTGTGAAGCGAACACACCGACCGGGTACAAGTGTGTCGTGTGTCCACCGACCGGGTGCCTCAGTCCTTGAGGAAACCGAGTTGATGATGTGAATCTCAGCCGAAACACTAAGTGATCTCCAAGATGAGACAGGTCCAGGTGATGGTGACCGGTGCGGAGTGCAACCATCTAAGTGTGCTCCATGTATTTGTTCTGTGTTTTTTCTGCCAACACTTCGACCCAGTGGAAACGTGTTGGGACAAGGAGCGCAGTCGATCTGGAAGCATCTTGCAAAGGAAATTCACAGCATCTTGCGGCTCACTGTTCTATATATAGTGCTACGGAATCCTGCAGCGATGCGCCTTGAATGTGAGACACTCACATCACTTCATGTCATTCTCTCGTGATCAAAAAAATATGTTTTGGCTTGGGCTCTCGAACCACACTGCTGCTTACTCATGACTTGTCACTGTCCCTGCTTTGAGCCGGGTGTTCTTGTCCAGTGTCCGGCGGTGTTTTTGCTGTCATCTGCTACTTCAGGCCATCCGTTTCTACATGTTCTGCGGAATCGCCCCAACCCTGTGACCCGATGGATGTGGCGGATGGACCGACCTCGAGACCGACCTAGAGTCTACGTGTCACTTGTAACTTTTCCCAGTCATTTTCGCGGTCTGCCCAGCCGGGTCTCAAGAACTCGATCGTACACCCGGAACCAGAGAGGGCCGTCGGGTCTCGCCTCGGACGGACGGACGGTGTTGCCACGTCGAGCGTTCATCGCCCACGGTCGATGCCGATGCCAAGGACGGTCGAGCCTGGACGTTCGTCGGTGAAAACTCACCTGGCGGTGCTGGCGTGAATCAATGGTAGAACAGGTGGTCCACCCAGAGGCGCCGTCTGGGTGACCGAAGTTTTGTTCACCCATACGAGAGAGACAACCTAAGAGCGATGGCCTCCAACCTGGAGGGGGGTCTGGACCCGAACCAATCCCTAAAAGGTTGAGGGATTGGGAAAGGTCTGTTAATTTGGTGTGTCTGGGCGGTGAAGATGAAGATCAGGCGATCCTTTTTGGCTTGCGCTGAATGGCAGTCGTCAAATGAAGTGAATAGATGTTGTCTGGATGTTGTGGACCCATCATTATCTATTCAATTGTTTCCCCCAGGCCAGGAACGGGTGTCACGGCGGCAGCGAAAGATTCAGCAACGGGTTGTCGATAGTTCCCCAAAATGTTTAGAAGGGGCAACTGCCTTTCAACCAGGCTTCGCAGGTTTTAGAATCGCACCTGCCATCATCTACCAGGACTGTCCAAAGTTCGCTGGTCACGTCGGGTGCTTGGGAAACAGGTGGTTGACACGTTCTCTCAGCCATCACGGTCCGGCGGGAATAAATTCCCGATCTTTACCAAGTCATCCTTCGCCCTGCCCAAAACCCACGCTCGCGGACCAGCGCGACGTGGGAAGCCTGACGTCAGGCCCCGCAGTGCGAGGAGCACAGCATTGCTTCGCCATGGCACGAGGGCCAAGGCAAAGTTCGTATGGCCAAAACGGTTTCTTCCGGCTGGATGGCACCTTCTTTGAGAAGTAAGTGATAAGCTGACTTTAAAGAAAGGTTTCACCTTCTAAACCAAGCACTCACTTGCGCCACTTTCGATTTTGAGAACTTGAACTCGAGTGTGGAAGATATCTTTAGTCATTCTTGGCTTGTGTCACTTTCATACAGTAGCTGCTTTGGTCGGTTCAGGGCATGTTTTTAAAACATTTTAAGACCCCACAGCAATGCTTCCATGTTTGAGCAGCTGAACTGAACGCCGATCCTCAAAACATCTAGAGAATCAACGTAAGTATGGGAGTTGTTTGCAACACAACAATGCTAAGAGACTTCGGAAGGCAAACTGCGATCTGTTTGAGAACCCTTCAAACAGTTCTTGCCACTTGGACATCTTGAGTTTTTTAGTCATGAAAGATCCCCGTTGATATTCAGGGTCAGGGGTCGGGGTCCGTATTTGGTAGAGAATTTATCTGCATATTGACAACGACCAACATCCCATCTCTACAAAGTGACCCTAAAAGTGTTGGATTCATTTTGTAGACAGGGACAAGGCCGATGGGGCAAATTGGAGGGCCCAAGGCCACTGATAGCTACAAAATGGTATGCACTGCAGAAAGTGGTGTCGGAATCATTGGCTGATTTTTAAAATGTTCTGATCATCCATGATGATTCTCTACAAAATGCAGGACCTCCGCCAGTGGAAGCATGAGGCGAAAGTCGCAACATGGACGAGAGACAAAACAAAAGGCAACAATGTCTTTGTATGAAAGAGACAGGTTCAACTTCATATGTTTGATAGTTTTTGATACATGATCGCACAAAATAGTCATTTGATTTTTCAATTTGGTGCTTGCAACTTCATTCATAAGTTATCCTTGCTAAGTTTCTTGCCCAAAACTGATTGCCTCCACAAGTGCATTTCTTTGTTGCCGCACGAATCGAACGCAACACCAACAACTGTGGACTCCTGGTCAGGTCCTGACTTATTGACAAACATAGAGCGTCTACATTCAGCTTCACGGCCACGAGCAATGTGACGTTCACAAAAAAATCAAGATCTAAATTGCCAAATTAGCGTTTGGCTAACCTGACACTCCACAAAAACATAGATTGCGAAGCACTAAATTCACATCTGAACGGTGCACATGTCACATAGGCTCCAAGAGAAGTCTTTCGTTTGTTTGACTCCTCAAAATGGAATGATCTCATTTGTCTCTTGACCTGATTTTTACCTTCGTTCCAATGATTTATATTTTTGTTAAAAGCATGCTTCCGAAAACAAGCACGAACAAAACTAACAAAAGCGATGCATACGATAACATGTCTTCAGTTTTGCAGGCCCGTGTTCTGAAGAAACTGAACCTCGCCCAAACAAGCCAACTGATTGTCTGTCGCACATAGGTCCCTAGAAGTCCAGCTTGACATATTTGCCCCACTGATGTCAAGAACGATCACCTCTTTTTCAGTGTCAAATCGTCGGCTGTCCAGGTCGATCTTCAGCTTCACTCTTCTGGGTAGTACCAGTGGTTGCGCACACCGGTGGGCACTGCAGGTTCCTCAGCACGGACCGGGCGAAGGAACGGCGCGGATCCGGACGCACGGATCGGAACGCCCGCTGGCGGAGACGGTCCCTCCATGTTGAACGGATTAAGTGGGTGTGTATTGGACTACCCTAAGGATCCGGACCCTCAAAAGCAAGCTGTTTGAGGGTACAACCAAAATGGGCTTGGAATTCGTGGGGTCCATCTGTGTTTTTCCTAAAGGTCAAGAGCTTAACTGGGGGCCCCTCTCGTTCAATACACGTTCCTGGCCCGACCGAAAGCTGTACCCTCTGGCTATCTCTGGCTCACGTTCCATGGAAGTGGATGGCACCCCCTGACAGGAAAGTAGACGTCCTTTCGGGAAAAAGAGTTTTCCGCGTAGCCATGGAACGTGAGGAACGAGTGTCACAGGTTCGGTCGACACCTCCGAGACACATCCGGTCGATAGCCTTTGTATGCATCGGTGCCGTAGGCCTCACGTGAGCGGAGTTCTCCACCACAGCGAGGTGACTCATGTATGTGGGGTTTTGGGGGGTAACATCAACATCCACTGCAAATGGAAATGTGTTTTTGTTGTTTTTGTATAAAATAATACTACTTAATCAATATACTAATATATATATATATATATATATACAGTATATGTGATTGATGGTTATTCCAGTTGTTTCCACCAAATGTCCAAACTGTTCAGCATCATCTACGCAAAACAGCGTCCTCTCAAAACACCTCAAGAGGCGCCACGTCTCGGAGCGCCACCCCGCACCGCACCCGCCTTCATCCATCGTGCACGCGGACCCCACCAGCCGCCCGCCAGGCTCACACCGTCGCGCAAGCGGATCCACCTCATCGGTTCGGGTCCGGTCGGGTCGCCGGTCGGGTCTGTTGGTCCGGTCGGGTCCGGTCGGAGCGGGTCGGGCCGGGTCGGGCGAGACGGAACCGCACGGAACCGCACCGGCGGCGTTGGACCGAGGGCGTTGGGTGCCGGTTGGGTTCTTTTCGGTGAAGTTAGACGGTTGGAAGGGCTGTCGGAAGGGCCCAGGCAGGTGTCTTTTGAAACAAAGGTTGCCCCAACACCAACATCCCCCCCCGTCCGAGAAGATCCGACTTGGGTGTGGAGTTTCGAGGCCATGTTCCATGGTCAAAATGATTCCAAAATGTATTGGGTTGCTTGGGAGGGGTAGACGTCGTTACTCTGCAAAATCACATGTCATTGGTCATCGCTCAGAATTCATGAGGCAAAGAGCGGCTTGTGGTAGCTTGTGATGTATCCACAAACTGACCTTCTCATGTTTCTCTTTACCCCAGGCACTCCGGGACAACCAGCCCTTTCCCGGTCAATGGTCGTCCGCATCTGGCGCATGGGCGGCGCATGGGGAGGCCAACCTTCACCCAAACCCTTGGCCCTGGAGTCAGAGACGACAACAAAAGAAGAGTCTGACGGAGCTTCGAGACTTCAGTTGGTCCAAATAGACTTGGACTTCATCATCTTCATCCGGGTGGGGAGGTTCACATCCCTTAGTAAAGGGATCTGTTTCATGTTCACCGGTCAGGTACAGCCACAGCAGGGTGCCCCGGGCTTCTTCTCATCCGTGAACACGAGCTTGACCTCTGAGGCCTTCCAAAAGAGAAAAGGTTGTTCAATTCAATTGGGAGAGACATGATGCTAATTCATTTATTAAATCAAGAGTCGACATGATGTTGCTGCACTTGATTCGTCTGCTGGGATGCTAAACACTCACGACCTGAAAGGACGATCTGAAGGACCTTTCAATGAAGTCACACGCCACTCCTGTGTTGATTCACAGAAAATATCTACAGAAGTGTGTAGAGAGAAAGAGAGCGCGAGAGAGAGAGAGAGAGAATGTATAATGATATATACATATTTACACTGGCGGCAGTCATGTTCGGTGCAGTTATCTCCCTACTAGTGTGGCGCAGTCATGTGTGATCAAAAATACACTTGCGCACACAGACCTGTCCAAAGGAGCGCACAGCGTATGTCTCGCTATGCGCGCGGACGATGTGCCACGCACCGGTGGCGGGGGGTTTGGGCGGAGCTCGCCGGCGGCGGGCTGGGCGCCCAGGCCGCACCAACTGCTCCAGATGTGAAGGCTACGGAGGATACGGCTACGGAGGAGACCCCTTCGGCCTGAGGTGATCAGAGCTATGGTCGTTTCATCGACCAGGTCGGCCCGTGAGTCGGGTGCGCGACGGCGGCGCCTTGCGCTTGGCTTCGGTTCCACCGGTCACGTTGAAACGGGCCGTTCTCAGTTGGATGTTGGCAAGTAGAATGTGCGGTGATGAATAGATGCTGCGAATGGAATGGAAGACCATCCCTTTTGTGCCCCCCGGGGCCGGGATCGTCCTCCAGACTTTCAGGTCGCGCGCACGGCGCACTTGTCACTTGCTATATATAAAGGTAAATCATCTTCCAATGTCATCTGTGGGTTGTGTACCAGATGTTTCCTTGCACTTTGTTGTTCTTCTCCTTGTCATCCCCCGGTTTCCCCCCTTCCTTCTCTTTTCGTCTCCATCAAAGTCTTCAAACAACATCGTTCAACTTGACTCCTAACCTAAACAAAATCTCCAGCATCCGCCTTGATACCAAACATATGATTAAAAGCTGGACACAGCCTCTCTCTACTCATGCCGGCTTAATCACTGGAAAACTGACAACCTTTAAGCCATCACTGAAACACCAGGCCCCCAGGCCTTGCCAATTTGTCCTCCATCCTTCTCTTTCCGCGCTTTCTTCGCGTCCGCATTACAGCTGAAGTGGACATAGGTGTGCCTCAGGGTGAGAGAGTCCACCAGATGTCCGTTGGACATAGGTCTGTCCCGTTGCTACGATGTTTCAAGACAACGTGCATGTCTGCCACACCATTTAATTGGACGATTCATGCATGAAACCTCTCATGTGGAGATTTGAACCATCATGGTATATGGTATTTCAACATCAACATTGCCCTTCAAGGACCTTTTCCAGGCAGATGGTTCTCCATTGAGAATCTATTCCTGGATGACCCCATGGCCACCATGGCAACCCGGGTGGATGCTGAGCGCCCACACTTGACCTCTTCATGAGGCATCTGATGTCCGACGATGACAGCCTGACGGATCCCCACATCAATGCGGCATAGAGGGACAAAGGGCTTTCTCAAGCAAAGGCCAAATGAGCGCCAGAACTGTCGCCCAAAAAATACAATTTTAAACACCACCCAGCACCATCTCGCTGGCTGATGTCCGCCTCACCACCGCACCTCTGGCTGGTACTCCTTTGTAGTGAAGTACTCCATGACCTCCTCTTCCGTGACTGCATCATCCTGCAGGCTGAACACCCTCCGGATCTAGCCAATCAAAGGAAGACAGGTTCATGGATCAATTCATCAGACCTGAAGAACTGGTGCTACTAGGGGTCAAAGGTTGAATTCCAACATATTCAGAACACCTGTCTGGCCATTCCCACATGGATCCATGATCTCCATCATCTCCATGATCTCGACCCCCGTGCTTTGGAGCGCCAAACAAGCAGACACCAGCTTTTTGATGCCTCATGTTTTTTGTGCAATCATTCTGGCCCACCACTGCCGTTGCTTTAAATGGTAATTACCAAACAATCGAGCTGTTCACTAAGGACTTGAGACTAGAATTACACGGGTGTATAGGAAAAAAAATCATAGTGGCACGACATGATGTCATCCTGGCATGACACCATACTTTCCACGAACGGAAACGATGCATACCACAAGGCACAATACATGCATCGATTTGTCGGACACAATATGAGCGGATATCGTCCCTAGCATGACATGATGTCATCCCTGGCATGACATGAAAACTCTCCAAGCGGGCCACATGGATTTTAAGAGATTGCAATATTAGAAGCATATGCACAAGTGCACTCATGTGATTACACGTGTATAAAAACACTGGTGCCAAGAGACTTGTGTAGAATAACACTCATGTATTACAACTGGTGTTAATACTCTCGTGTTGATGCACGTGTCTTGCGACATGCTCTTATGTTCAGACTCTTGATTCTTGACATTCATGTTCCTACTCTTATGTTGGCACCCTTATGTTAACACTCTCGCGTTGAGATTCTTCGCTGTCAATTATTTCCCTTTACGTCCAAACTCTTATGTGCCAATAGACTCTCGCATCTATTATGTTAATTACTCTCGCGGTGACGTTCTCGTGTTGATACACCGGTGTATGTCTAGCGTCAAGAGACCGTGTGTAAAAAGACATCTCATGTTTGAACCTGCCGTGAAGAAAACCCCTTCACGAACGGTTTCGGCGCCTTGGTTAGCGGGGTTGACGTGTGTAGCATATATTTTATAGTTACGTATTTGTATACCTATGTATAAACTTTGATGAATGTTGAAAACAAAAAACAGACATCAACATATATACACAATACATACAATATAAAGAAAGATATGATCATACACACCCGCGTTTATATGTTTTTAATCGCGTTTATATATATATACTATACACGATGTTTATACATGTGCATATATATGTATATATTACGTAAATGTTTCTACGTTTAGACTGCTCGCGAGGGTCACAGTTGCTTGCTGCACTCTTAGCTTCCCTCAGGCTGGCAAGGGCTTACAGAAGACAAGGCTTGATAATAAAAACTCGCATCCATGTTCATACTTTTCTGTTCCGACTCTTGTATTGATATTCTCGTGCTCAAGCTGGTTTCTGTCAATTACTCTTGTGGTGATTTTCTCGCGTTAATACACCGGTATATGTCCAACGTTAAGAGACCGCGCATAGTGCTTGAATCTGCCGTGCAGAAAATTACGAATGCTCAGTTACTCCCAAGCCGGTTAGCGGTGTTGACGTGCAAGTCCCTCCCCTTATCAGCTCTATGCCATACTCGATTACAGGCACTTATGTTAAGATCCTTCTGGTCAAAAATGAGCGCCAATTAAGGCTTGTCCATGCCCTATGAATGATCAAAATGAACGCGGTCAACTTTCCTGCTGCCTGACATGACCATAGGTGGGCTCTTGTATGTCTTCTTTTTTTAGCATGTTTGATAGATCTAGTTTGCGACAGATGGGATGCAAAGCTGCTCTGCACAGAAAAACAACTATAGTATCTAGAAAGATCTAAACACATATAAAGCAAATGTGTACACATATATATATATATAAGTACATATGTACATATACATAATATGTATTCTTCTGGCTTTCTCCTACTTCTTCTTCTTCTTCTTCCTGCTCCTTTCTTATTTCTGCTTCGTCTTTTCCTGCTTGCTTGTCTTCGTCTTCTACTTCTATCTTCTTCCTTCTCTCCATGGATCACCTCTGGGAATGGGGCCCAACAACCAAACCATGTGATCCAAGGGCTTGGATCGTGTGTGGGTTTGGGTGCGTGATCTCACTTGTTCACCCCCCCAAATCACCGTCTGGACCTTCCGCTCAGCCTCTCCAAAAAGCGAACCAACTCTCTCCAAAAAAAAAATACAAAAACACATGATAGCATCGGAGACCGGTCTGGTGCTCGTCCTTTGGTCCGCGGTTGTCCCGTGAGGGCGTCGAAGACACCGGCGTCCGGTCGCCTCACCGTCGGGGAAGTTCAATTTCAAGGTATGGGACCAATCGGCCAAGGTCGCCTCCTGCGCTCGGCGGAACCGGTCGGACGGTCGCGACGGGTCGGCGAAAGAACCAGCCGTCGCGACCGAACCGAGGTCGCCACGACGGAATGGGATGTAGGTCACGGGTCAGCTTGGAAGCGATGTCGAGGATCCGGGTTTTTCCATGTGCTGAGGATCCTGGAGATCAGATTGGACTACCAGAGACCAGCCTATGTAGACCGTCACTGGAGGAACGGAAGACTGACCCCTTCCAAATGCGGAAAACCAGAACGAATGGAGACACCAAGCTAAATAAGCAGGACAGAACGGCTTTACCTCCAAAGTACTGTTTGGTTTCATGACATCTCTCCTGTTGTCATGTGCATGTGTAGGAGTGCAGGAAAGTAGAAACAAAGGTCCACCACACGTGTTGTTTTAAGTCTCTCCCCCTCATATAGAAAAGGATGCATGTAAAGTTGCTGATCCACTGCTGCCAGTGGAGTGGTACCTCAAAAACTCTCCAAATGGTAGCCAACTCTCCAAAATGATAACCACTCAGCTGACTGAAAGATGCGGCTTTCCGCGCGGCGTCACCGGAGCTTCGCTGCCCGCCCCCCCGACCGCCAACCCCCAACGCCAGCCCCGCGCCGGGCAGAAGAAGAGCCGCTGGGCAAAGGCTGGCACATCGGTCGCCCACCTGTACTCCCGCCCCAACCCCGATCGCGTGACGGTACGGGGGTCGACGGACGGCGGGGTCGGTGAAACGACGGCCGGCGCTTCTCCAGGCGATTTCGGAGCGAGCGTGATTCGAAGTGTGACTCACAGGCTGGCAGAACTATGCTTTTCAGAACGAACCACAGAAGTGATGGCCGAATCTTTTTCTTGTGCGTCAGTGCTTCCACTGAAAAAAACAAAAACAAATTCGACGCCCTGCCCGCCCTACCAGGTGGTCGAGAAAAAGGTGTTCTCAGCAAAACAAGGTGCAAATGGGCTGACTGTAGGTTTAAAAAATAACGGTGGGATTTTGCTTGGACCCTTTGCCAGAATTGCCCACATGGACGGGCTTGCGGAGTGACCTACTATGGCGACAGGCAGGCAGGAGGGTCACTTGCGCATCGCCCTATGGCGACCTACTGCTCGTGGTTCTGACGCGTGACATCATCCAACATCAAACCCCCCTTTTGGGCCACCAAGGATGCTGGAGGTTGGTTCTCTCTACCACACAACGTTCCATGTTGAGTCAAGAAGGAAACATGAAGAACTCAACTCCGAATCCCAAAAAAAAAACATTGAAACAAATGCCATGCACCCCCTGCACCCCAGCTACATATATACTGTATATGTATGTGTATACATATATATATATATTATATATAAATATATACTGTATACCTTGAATGTTTCTTCTACTTCTGATATGTCTCACCATCCTCTGGCCCTCCGGCTTCTTGTAGCGCTCCTCCTGGAATTTGGGGTGACACCTCAGTCCGATGACAGTCCATTAAGATTCTGTGTGTATGGCATGTGGGTCTCAAACATGTGTTCCTCCTCAGGTGACCCAACTCAAGGAATTACGAGTACCTGGCTGGTGCCATGTAAAGTCGAACGGGACTTTTGTCTATATATAACTAATATATATATATATACATACATAAATAGCTAAATATTTATATATTGAAATATATTATATAGAGAATTCCATGACTTCTTCAATTCTTTCATGGGCATCGGGATATCGAGTCAAGATCGTTATGTTTCGACAAGTTTCGACCAGCTGTAGTGAAGGTGTTTTTGATGAAAGCTTCTCGCTTGTCCTCGGGGATTTCCAGCTAATGGCCCAGGCCGAGCTTAATGATCTGGGAGGTTGCATGTAATTGCCACTGGTCACCATCCATTTGGGGGTGCCATGCTTGTAGCTTGGCATGGCTAAAGACTCAGAAACCCCACCGATGCCAATCTGTGGCCGCGGCTTCTTGGGCAAGTTCCGTTTCCTCTGGCGGCGATTGCCACCTTCCATCGCCTCACACCGTCCGGTTCGCCGGTTCGCCGGCGAGTCCGGCACACGTCCACGGTGAGTTCGGTGCGGAACACCGGAGTCCGACAAGGAAAGCGTTTCGCTTCACCCTCTGACCGCCCAAACATAGACCCCTCCGACCAAAAAGGAGCGAAAAAACATAGACCACCATAGACCCCAAACAGCTTCAAAACGATTCGGCTTGGACCAACATGTGTCAAAAACGACTTCTTGGTACGTCCTAGTCCTACCTTCCCCAAGGGCAAACTGGCAAACTGCTTTATCAATGCTTTTTGTCGGCATCGACATCGCTAATTGTTCGGCCACAAGAGAAGGCAAGAGAAGAGCAGGACAAGAGAAGACAAGAGGAGGACAAGACCCGGTCACAGAGCCCGGCCACAGAGTTCAGGGGCGCGGCCAGTCAGTGTGGCCAGCTCTGAATTATAAGATAGAACCCCAACAGTAAACTGTTTGGAGAAAAATTTAATGTACGTGAAAAACAATCGGGGGCAAGTCTTCCAACATGGGCGAGAGGGTGAAAGCCACCCAGCTCACCAAAACCCACCAGCTTAGCTTCTGGCAAGGCTCAAGCATATCCTCTGCCCATCTCTACCCCGCCCCGCTGGGGTCTCAAACCACTGCAGATGCGTCGCGAGAGCTAGACCTGAAGCGCCGCCGGCGCGCCGGCGGACTCCGACTGGAAATCGTCGGATCAAGTGGCTGCTGGTTCCGCTCGTGGACGACTGGCAGCTCGCATCGTGATTGTAAACAAGCCCGGCAGCCCGGCACCAATCACCAATCGTCTGTAAAGGGATGTCCCCAAACCGATCGCCACAGTCTGAACTGCCCAAAAAGGACGAATCAGTAGCGCAGCAGCATAACCCCACGTGTCGAAGACGATAAAACCCCACGCAAAACGACTACTCACGACATAGACGTAGGAAAGGGAAAAAGAATATTCTAAAGATTCTCAAGTCCACAACATGTCTGTGTTTTCTTTCCAACCCATCAAAGGAATTGGTTTAAGGGGAAACAAAATCCTACAGGTCCTACAGGAAACATCAACCATGGTTTTGATCCCCAAGCTATGGCTTTCCCACAAACATCTCCCTGGAGCCAATTACTGTACATCTCCCAAACCCATCACTGCTGCGGCTGCCTCAACATCGCACCTTCAGCGCTGGCGAAAGCATCGCTCTTCGCCTTCTTCGAGAGCGGTGTTCCACCGTGGACGGTCGGACCCTGTTCCGTCGGCTCTGGACACAGGGGTCCCAGTTCAGAGCGGAATTGAGAATACAATCAGAGTAAAAATGCCCTACAGAGTAGGTTGTGGCAAAATACTCATCGAAAACCGAAAGCACTGCCCCCAAAAGTGACCTTTGAAAAGCGCCAGTAGCTCAGGCTGAAAATCGTCTGTGCTTCCGCCATAGCCTCAACCAACACCACGCAGACATGGGTGGTGATTGGATGGAACATACAGGGTCGGCATGGAATCCGTCCTGCGCAGCTTGAAATTGAAAAGAAGCTAAACCCTAGGGATCCAGTCGTACCTTGTCAGAAGGTGATGTAGGAGACACTGTGACATGTAGGTGCCAGTCGGGTCCAGTCGTACCTTCTTCTGAGGTTCGGTACGAAAACGGTCCGAAACCCAACGAAGCACCCACCTGCCAGCTGAGGACCAACACGGTCACCTCACATCCGTCGCTTCGTCGGTTTTTTGCCGGGTGGCGCCCTTCGACCATGAAACTGGTTTTTTCCGTCGGTTGGCTTGAAACCGCCCTTCTTTCCAAAACTCCATCGAAAAACCGGTGTTTGGGTTGTTCAGACTATTCAATCGCTGGGCGAATCCGGAAGACGATGGTTGGATGAGGGAACGACACACGGAGACTTGGCGCAGACCGAGACTTGCGCGCGGCTCCGACGATCCCAACGAAGAACTTTGAGGTGTGGGACGTGAAACTCATGAGCAAAGTTCATGCTAATCCAGACCATACAAGACCCTTCTGTCGGACATAGCCTGACATAGACTTTGCAGTCTTTGCACAAGTCTCGCTCCAGGTGTTGGGTAATTCAGGGAAAAAAATGGCAGTATCAAACTTTCAAATGTGACTCACAAGACGCCGTTTCGTTTCGACTGCAGTCCGGAGCTTCTTACCTCGCTGCAGCCACAACTGTCGCCGCAACCCATGCCAGAGAAAAAACGAATTAGGTGTTATATCGCCACCTGCCAAATAGCTCGTTTGGGACCCAAACTTCGGCCTAACAGTTTGGACCCAAAATTCGGCCTAACAGTTTGCTTTGGCCGTTCGAGAACCTCCACAGACAATATGTGTCATGTCGTTGCTGATCAGAGGCTACTACTTACAGTAGCGTCCGGCCAAGTGGCCAACCAAGCACATTTTATCGTATGTTGACTGCTTGCAACATCTGAAAACCAAAACAAACCAGAAACGAACGGATGCTTCCCAGTCCCAGCCACTGACACCATATCAAGGATCCCAGTCGCTGACACCATATCCAACCAGAGCTGTTTCTGGTCGTTTGGGTTCGTTTGCCCAACCGCGGCTCGATGAGAAGAACATCTCCGCTCCGCTCGTCCTGGTTGATTCAACAGTCAACCTCAAACCCATCACATCCCTTCCCTCAGAGCCTGCCACTCGTAGCGTCCGATCGCTCCGTGCCCAGGAACCCCTACTGGTAGCGTCCTTCAGAGCCGATCCTCACCGTCCTCACCGTCCTACCGGGCGCCCCGGACCCCCAGGGCACAAAGCCACGCGACCCGTCCTCCACGCTGCCTGCGACCGGAGCGCCCGGAGACGAGGGCCACTCGGCCCGGGAAGAGCTCGGTGGTTTGCTGGTGAAAGGCTGAGGTCTTCAGAAGAGGTCTTCAAACGTTGGGGGGAACCCAAAAAAAGATGAGGATCGATGTATGAGCTGGCCACAGGTGCTTGACCATGTTTTGCCTACAAGTCTCGAGAGCTGGACTGCAAAACACCCGGTGTTTGTCCTGGGCCCCCCAGGTCTTTTCCACTGGACCCCGGTGTCCTCACCCCGCATCCCGGAGACCGGAAAAAAAACCGGAGACCGGAGACCTCCCAGCTCCCGAAGAATTGGAAGATGCAAGGGGTAGATCCTGAAGCTTCTGACATACCTGAACATCCCTGAACCTGGGAAGATACCAAATCCGACCAGAAGAGTAGATCCTGCAATTCCCTGAATTCAATCTTCCCCCAATGCATCGTTGCTTCTCTCCAGGTCGAGAGGAAGACAGGCCCTCCGGGTCGGTCGAGGTCAGTGACCCGAGTCGAGGAACGTCAGACTTCGGTGGTAAACAGAGTCGAACTGGACCTCAAGGGCATATAAGACCAGGACCCACGGTCGGTCTGGTGAATGGACACCCCTTAATATCTAAGGGGCTAACCATAGAAGCCCCGAAATGGGATCTTAGGGTGTCCTGGTCTGTTATTTTCTTTTTACACTTGAGGACCTTCCCGGTGACCTGAAATCAGATCCCAGTATACTGAGGTCACGAACAGGTCTTGAAAAGGTCACTTACCAATCCTGAAGTACGGTCACTGGGAAGGTCTTGGAATATCATCCCAGAAAGAGCACAAGACCAAGCTAACGTACCAGCTCCGCACAGCTGAAGCGCTTGATGAAAGAAGGCTTTGAGAAGTGACCACCCCTCTAAATTCAGTGACCCCTCGTCAGTTCTCCAAACAAATCAAGGAAGGACATCGTATGGTCAACCAGAACCGTCCCCAGAGTCAACCAGAACCGCACCAGTAAGACTTAGATCGCCGCCGACCCTGTCCTTTCGGATGGCTTTAGGGCGATTTTCAGCAGCGAACGGAGCCGACGCCGGAGCCGGTGAGGGGTGGACGATGACGGTTAGCACCAGCAACGGGTTTTGGTCCAGGCTCCAGAGCCCCTAGATAGAGGGGTGAAAAACGCCTGGGGCGTCACATTCCAAGCAGCTGGTCTGGGAAACAGGTTTCTTAAAGATCGAAGCGTGTCTTCCCCCGTGAATGCTGGGTGATCTGTTCGCTTAAAGACATGGATATGAATTCAAATGCATGCCCGTCATGGCCGGAAAAACACCTGTCCTCCAATAAAAAGTGTCGTTCACCCAGGCCTTCTAATCTGCGGCTCCCAGGCCATGGCTCCACCGCCGCGGGGAGTGGCGGTACGAACCATGCTGAGCATACGGCGGTCACGGCGGTCTCCCAGTTCCAGTTCGGGACGGAGGGTGCCGGCACAGGGTTCGGGGTGGCAAACATGTCACATCAGGATCAGTTAGGGGTCGAGTCTGCCATGAAAACCCACCCCTGACATGGAAGTCCTGAGGTCCGTTCTTGATTTCTGACTGGTGGTTCGTACATCCATGACGCCTGTAAATCCTTTTCGTTCTTCGGTGTCCCTCCAGAACCAGACTGTTTCCCTCCCAAAGCCCATCGTCTGCTCGCGTGGCGCGCGAACGCTCGCGTTCGCCGGTGCTTTTTGGCCGAGGGTTCAAACGTTCAAAACAACCCCTGCGCCTTTCATTCGCCTCGGTGCAGGCGTTAAAGGACTGAAAGAGCTTCACGGTTTCACCATGTTCTTTTGCTGCCAAGCACATAGAGGCATGAAGAGCACAGGAGCCGTGCTTCTTTGATGGCTAGAAAGGCTTCTGCATCTGGGGGTGGCCCGATTCCGACACAAACAGAAATGTGATGAGCAAGGGAACATAGACGAATGAGAGATTGGTTGAGTCCCCTCTTTGGATACGACATCGACCCCGAAGCCCAAACAATGTCACATGTATCCAAAAGGTGCTTTGTGCTTTTTTAGATCTGGACCCTCCTAAGTAGGGGCCGGACACTCATATGAAGGGGTGACCCGAACCAATTGCTGGGTTTTGAGGGAGGAAAGGCCTGTTTGGAGCGTCTGGGCCTTTTCCTCCAACTGCGACTCTTAGACAAGTCATGACAATTCTTTTGCAAGCTCGAGTGCTGGGTTCCCCACAGTTCGACCAATCGGGTCCCGCCACTCACTTCGGATCACTCTCCAAAATGCAGACCAATCTCAGCGCCATTAGGTTCAAAAAAATGGAAGTGTCAAGGCCGTCAAGGCCAAGGCCGGCAGATGGGGCGCCACAGTTGATGCACCTTTTTCGAACAAACCTACCCCAGTGGATAACTTGGAGTGGACACGTCTCGTTTTTGTGTTCCTTCTTGCCTGACCGTGGCCGAAGCCGGCCTCTGCAGCTTCAGAACATCTAAGTCGGAGTTTCGTCGCTCACGCCGCGAACTGGGCGGCTTCTTTTTTTACATGAGACCTTCCCGCCTTCAGTTGACAGTCATTCTCGAAGAGTGCAACAAGATGCAACAAGTCATTGGGAGAAACAACTGGTCAGAATTGGAAAACATTCGATTCTTTCGGGCACGAGCTGTATTTGATCCAGTGGGGAAACCGGGGAAACTTAGTAAGTCTTAAGGGCTCAGTTCTTCGTGTCAAACATTCGAAGGAGAAAGGCGGCCAAAGCAAATGGAGCTGGAGAATCACTTGCTCAATGGCACTCCATTTTTTCAATATTCGGCGGATGTTTCGCCGCTCAAGAGATTCCTACGTGTGACGTTCTCACACATGGGCGCAGACCATGCGCTCAGGCTGTTAACACCGTTTCTTCAACAAAAAGTCAGACTTCCATGTGCAGAATCTTGGTGTTCACGTCGAGTTTATGTGGCGTTCTCATTTCAGCTGTCCACTGGAACTTTTTTGTGGTGCTTTTTGGCCTTTTTGGCAGCTAATCCGGTATTACACCTCTCAAAGATAGGATACACCTCTCAGGCCCCTTGGGTCAATGGAAGATAACTAGGAACAAAGGGCATCGCTACTAGGAGCAAGGACGCTACTAGGGGCGCTCCTGGCCTTACTAGTAACAAGAAGCTACTATGAGCAAGACTAAAGTGACTCAAGTTAAACGGGTCACCCTCGACATACGAAAACGGGACTGTTTCAGCTGTTCTTTCCACTGCCGACGTGAATCCAGGCTGTTTGGGGTCGCAGGATGGCGCCAGCTGTTTGGCAGCCGGATGTCATGGTCCGAACTGCGGGCCATGTCATCCACGCGGGCCTGTGATTGTGGTGTATACACCACTCGAGTTTGCACTGGAAACCAGTGATGTGGGTGGTCCTGATGAGCCATCAAAGGAAAGCCTCCAGTGATGCTGATGATTCCATACCTGGATCTTCCAACTATAACAAATGTCTGCCTTTGAGATCCTTTGGGCTGTTTTTTGTTATCGATGAAAAAGCAAAAATGCGTCGCGTCGTTGGAAGATCCAAGTATGTCGTTGCTTAAAATCCATCCCCGACTGGGTTCCAGGAGGGTCCCTTCGTTTCGGTTCGGTGGGGCCCATGGGGGCCCATGGGGGCCCATAGGGGGCCGGCTGGGGGCCCGGGTGCCAGGATCGGGTCCAGTCATACCGAACCTAAAAAAGGTACGACTGGAGCCTTAGGATCCAAAAGGTCCGACTTTGGTTTGGCCGAGTGAAACTAGGCTGAACCAGGATGCCCACGCCACCAGGTGGACCGGGTGACTTGGAGTCGTCCAGGAGTCCAATGTGAGGAAATATGTCAATTCCTGGCCAACCATTTGTTTCAATAGCAATCAATAGCAAAGAGCACGTTTTTCTGGATTCTTGACTACAAAACCAGGTCAACAGCCAAGACCTTATGGTCGAAGTGAAGGCTAGGTATACGGGTATGCATCTTAAGACATATTGAGACAAAACTGAGACGACTGTGGAGAAAATGCTGGGACTGCCTTGCGGGAGAATGTGCCACACCCACTTCGATCTGCAACAAGCCCTGTCCGTTTGAGGACGGGTCATTGGTTTATAAGTCACGTCAACATGCCTCCTGAAACCATACAGGTTTCACCAGCCCTAATATTCAACCTGAAAACATTATTAGAGTTATGACTCAGACACTCCGTGTCTGTCATATATGCCTACATTGACCCCTCAAACCACCCCAATATAGGTAGAGATCCCATATACATGGAGTGCCTGGGTATTAGAGCTGATGATTCGACCTGACAAACGTCCTTCGACTCGATCGATGAAATCGACCTGAGTGAAACTGTTGAAACTGAACTTTCACACCGAAGATCCTTCTTTTCCCACGTCGTTCCATTTCCGCTTGAGCAAAAAATTGACTTATTTTATTATATAATGTATATATATATATAATCATGTGATTTTCCTCCGAAAGAAAAAAAGACATGGAACCAACCTTAAGGTTCTTATTCTCATACAAGCTTGGAACCGTCACGCCCAGGTTCTCTCGCCGCGGAGCTCGTCGCAAGGCACCCCGGGTGTCTCGTCAAAGCTCGGACTCCTCATCCATGGCCTCCGTCGTTTGAGCGGTTGGAGCGGTTGGAGCGATCACCAGTCGCAGGGGACCTGGATCGAAGGAGGCCAAATGAGGAGCTCCGGGCTCCGAGCGCCTCCGGGCTCCCTCAGGTTTCGGGAAAAGATTCGACCCCCCTGGCACCCCAACCATCTTCTAAGGAGGTAGTTGGAGCCCTAGGGTAAAGATGTTAAAGGACGGTGTGACTGAAAAAGAGTCTTCAAAGGATCTTCGTTTGAGACACCTTCGATGTCAATTCCACTCAGGAGGATGCAGTTCTGACGATTCGAATGCAGTTCTGCTTGGCAAAAACTGGCATGACGGAAGTCCCAGTTCTCACCGCGGTGTACCAGTCCTGGTCCGAGTCCTTCAAACCCCTCAGTTGGTCACGAAAATGCACCGCCCAGATCGACCGCTCCGAGAAGACCCGCTGAAGGCGCAGCCCGGTCCCCCCGCGGGGCACCTCCTTCAGCTTCTCCAAATGGCTGTCGCTGAACGAGCGCCGCATCGACGTCCCGATCGGCATGTCGTCATCCGAGGTGTCGTCCTCCACCTGTGCGCGCGGGGGTATGTAAATCCGGGAGAAATCCCGAGAGCCGAAGGGATAGACAGGTCGATTTCCCTTCCAAGCCCAAGGGGGGTCGGAACGCCTGGTCGGTCTTGCCACTACATCCGTGCCGCACTCACCAGCACTGTGTTCGGAGCCATCACCGTCAGACTCTCGGGGGCCATGCCATCCCATCCGACGGATCCCATCGACGTCGGAGTCGACGTCCACGTGAGCAGTCGTCACCAGATCCGCCCCCCCCGGCCTGCATGACTTCCATAAAAGTTCGGCGGACGCGCAGCTCCACCTTGCCATCCAGCATTGGCCGCACACCACCTGAAGTGCGTGCAGAGAAAAATGAAAAAGGGAGCTGAGCAAGGATGCAATGCATGGTAAACAATGATCGCGATTAATATCATTGTTTACATGTCGTGTACAGTATGTGTTTGCGTGTTCTTTCGGAGGGGTGGTGTTTTGTCCCATCCATTGAGTGAATCCTTAAATGCGCCCTTGTGGCCGTGTGGGCCTGCTGGGACTCATGTCCTGGGTGTCCTGGCTGGAGATCCCGGATAGTAGTGTAGTGTAGTCTATTGGACACCCATCGCATGGTCCAGGTCGAAAACTGTTCATCCGAAACCAAGCCTGTGGGGGTATGGCCAGGTCCTACGTTCGATGTCTCAGCGAGCGATTCTGGAGGAAAAATAGTTGACACTTCCAGGGCTACAGTAGAATTCAGCCCGTCCGTGGGCCTAGCTAGTAGGAATAGCTAGGATCTAGACAAGAATACCAAAGAACTATAGTCAAGTGCCTATGTCTTCAGCCAGCTTTGGGGAAACCACCATCCAGATTTGTCTGTGGCATTGGACGGCTATATACGGCGTCTCCAAAAAAACAGGAAACCACACCGGACCACAACCCGCACCTTCATCTTTTCGCGGCAAGGCCTCGAACAAGATGGAATCTCCTGACCACCGAAGCCACGACGCCGACAGCGACGGCGGCGAAGGGTGTCGAACTGGAGGTCTTGACGATTGAACCACTGGAGGTCTGGTTTTTATCACACCAGCCATATGGGCTAGCCAGCAGCCGAATTCATTTAAGACTAAGATAAAGAACACATTTAAATATATATATATATACTAAAAAGGATTGAAACACTGGACAGTCATGTAATTGTCTAATACATATATATATATATATATATATCTTGCACCTCCTTCATGTGGTCTATGAATGTCTATGATCCCCAAAACCGCCGTCCAACGGCGGGTCGCGCCTTGCTCGTCCGGGGCCACTGCCGCGCGTTCTGCGCTGAAGGCGTCTCCTTGCGACTCCTGCGCGCGGAGGATCGACCCCGGCGCATGTGACCCTGGCAGTGTTGCGTTCGGTTCAAGAAGCCGGTTGCCACCCTTTTTTTCCGAACTCGGTTCTGCCACGAAGGCAAGCCGATGTGATGCCACTGACGGGTTCTTGGGGGAGATGCCACTGGAGTTCTTGAAAGTGTCGAACTCCTGCACAATTCCACGAAGGCCAGCGCAGGCGCTTGGCCCTCTTCGCAAAGCCTTCGGAGACACAAATGCACATCCTGCAGAGGTCACATCCCTGCGAAGCACTTTTCTTGCATTCTCAGGTTTCAAGGCCATCAAGTCGCCTCCTGGATCGAATTCGATCTGCCGAAAAATTGAGTCTTCGAACTGCCGAGTGCTGCAGGTCATGTCTCAGTCTCTTGTGAGCTCCTCGAGCTGGGCCCAAAACCACGCGGGTTCACCATTGGCCGGCCGTGCTTGGAGGAGCTGCCGAGCAGCGGCGCTAAAGCCTTGCATGCCGAAGAAGAGTGGTCTTTGAGTATGTGGATCGTGGAGGCACAAAGAATACAACTTCCTTTCTGGCACTTCGTGCTCTTCGTGCTTGTCCTCACTTTCATCCTTGGGCCTCTTTGGGGCTGGCTCAGTTGGCCTGGCTGAAGCTGGTGCTGGGAAGTCTTGCTCTTGCCCCTCGCTGAGCCGCTTTCGCTTGAGAGCGGACTTGGGAGCTGGTGATGTGGTTTCACTGGGAGTGGCAGGGTTCTGAGGAGCGCTTGGGGAACTGGGCTTCAGACTCGCCATCTTTCTTGGGTTGCTTGAGCTGGAGCTCGAAGAACTCGAACAGGCCGGGCGAGTTTTGGAAGCCTTTGGACTTCTGAAATCACTCTTTTCCTCCACAGACTGCTCTGCAAAGTGATGGATTGCATCCATGCTATCCCTCTCTTCACTAGCCAGTTCCTCGAGGTAGGCCCAGACCCAGGCGGGTTCACCGGGCATCGCCGGTCTCTTCTTCAAAGCCTCTCGAATCGCTTTCTGAAAGCCAGGCATCCCGAACTCCACGCTTCCACCCAGCGGATCTTGAAAACACAACGTGAACAGCTCCCGGGACTCCGGCACGAAGGGTCCGGCGGCCGGTTCCGACTCCGCGAAGGGTCCGGTAAGAGTCCGCTTTCCCTCCACGTTCGGCTTCATGTCACCGGCCTCCGAAACTTCAGTTCGGGGCGGTTGAAGCTGCAACTGCGGCCTCAAAACGGCCGGTGCCGCTTCAGACTGCTTCTGACTTTCTTTCTCCCTTTCAAGCTGTGAGTGTTTCTCAAGATTCAAAGGCTTTGTGAACTCGGCAGGCTGTGCCAACCCCCCTTGAAGGTGTTCGTGCGATTTCTGGTAAAGCATGTGGCTCTCCTGCAGCTCGTCAGACTGCTTTTGAATAGCGTCTTTCTCTTTTTCAAGCTGTGCACAGAGTTCCTGAAGATTCGTAAGCTTTGTCTGCTTGTCTCGCAAAGCGTCT